GATTTATCAAATATCCCTTCCTTAATTAGGCCATCCATGACCTTCTCCATCTCTTGTCACTTTGCCAGAGCTATTCTTCTTGGAGGGATCTTTATTGGACGGTGATTGCCTGTGTTTATTCTGTACTCCACGAGGTCTGTGCAGCCAAGGTCATGATCTCCTTTCGAAAAGACGTCTACATAATTCGCCAAGTTCCCTAACCTGAAGAGCCTGTGATGATGACAAATGGACTGTGCTCTTCTTATAGAGGTCAGTTAAATGTTCTGGGAGTGTATGTCCTTTCTTTATTATTGTATTTCTTGCTTTAATATTGACTGGCTCTGCTTTCTGGCACGCACCCAACAATGTCCCTTCCTTAAGTGTCTGCTCACATTTAGAGAAGTTGGCCACTGTTATAGGTACTACTTGATGGCCTGCCACAAGTGACCTTCCAATCTTCAAATTCGCTGGCCTGGATGGGTCTTCCACTGCTTCCACAAGCATTGGGCTTCCTTGGGGATGTTCTTTTATCCTACCCTAAATTATCTTCTCTAACATAGGGGGTATTGTAGTTGACTTAAGTGCTGTGATATGCAAATCAACAGATGTAGCAGCACTTACTGGAATTTTGTCTTTGTTGTTTCCAATCGTCATTTTATCGAAGTTAACTACACGCTTCCTCGGTATTAAATAGTCCAATCCTAATATGTATTAGTCTTCAATGTTAGCCAAGTATACTTTCTGTCTGTTCTTCATGCCCATGAGTTCAATAGTTACCCACACTGGTCCCCATAACCTTGCATAATGTCCTGTCACACCACAGAGCTTCTGTACAGCTTCTGGTACTCCTTTGTGATCCAGCACCTTGATACTCACAAGGGTTTGTTGAGATTCAGAATCTATAACAAAGTTGCACTATTGGCCATCCAGCTTTCCTGTCACATAGACACTATGTGTGCTTGGCATTTTACACCTAGCTGTTGGGACATTCACGATGGGGGTTGGTGGGCATCCCTCAGCACCAACCACTACTGGTTTCCCGAAACTGACTTGTTGGTGGTATTCTTCTTACACTGGTTCCTCATATGTCCTTGCTCTCCACAGTTCCAACAGCCTTTCTGGGTAGCAACCTTTCCTGTTGTGGCATCTTCCCTGTGTTGAAGTTGTCAGCATTGAGCTCTCTTGTGCCCAGGTTTATTACAGTGCCAGCAAAGTCCCTCAAACTTCTCTGAAA